AAAATCGCACAAGCGGCGGTCGGACGAATGTAAAAATAGAAAAAAAAAAAGAAAAAAAAGAAAAAAGAAAAAAAAAGAAAGCCCCTCGATAACGCGCGTATCGACGTCGCAGGCCGAGGCACTGCGTTTCGCTTCGAGCGACACGGGAGCGTGTCCCGGAAGGGTGTCGCGAATTGCAAATTGTTTGTTCGATCGTTGAGTTCGGCAAACACATCTCGGCCATTTTTCTCGCGGACATTTTCGAAGGAGGGAACGAAATCGCGCGGGAAAATATCCGCGAGAAGAAGGAAATAACACGTAGGCCAACAAAACTAGGTGAGGTAATGATGGCGAGAGGTGATTAAGAGAACACGGAGAAACTAATTACCTCCCCTAATTACCCGAATCCCCTTATGGCGGACATTAAAAGGAGGAACTCGATCAAGCGAATGCTCAAGATGTCTCGTCGTAGTCGGTGGTTGGATACGCAGATCCTTGAAACAATCGAGTAGATAGACCACTTCCAGGGGGACATAAATTTTCTTACTGCAATTAATCGTAGATGAGAGCTGTGATGCGACACGCGATGGATACGCGAAAATGGCGAGAGGCTTACCTCTACATCAGAGGATAGGAAGTGAAGAAAAAAAAAAAGTATCAATAAAGGCAGACACATATTTATAGTGCAAACAATTTATCAATGTTGTGATTGTGTTAATTACGTAATTTATTTAAAAATGTGATTTAACTAATTAATTTTGCTCGTTTATTTTACCAGAGTTTATTACAGCGTAATTGATTTGATTCGTGACGTTTGATATATTCCAACATCCGCGTCGTAAAATCTTTCTGCGTCTAGTGGAAAATTCAGCACGTATTTGCATAATACATTTATTTGTGTTTATTTGTAATTACATTACTTTAATTATGTGCACGTTAATATCGTTCGCTCATCAGCGCCCTATCAAAATTTTCGCATTTAAACAATATGCATATTGGTAAGTGATTAATATACAATTTAATACATAATTGTAATTTCCGTTGTGTATCGTACGGAAATCGCGAGCCCGCGAGAATTCGTGAAATGTAATATTGGCAAATTAATCATATCGCACGAGTCTCTCTCTCTGTTACGCCGGATGACATCATCCCCCGCATTCGCACTTTGAGCGAGAATCCCATGTTTAATGCGTAACCTAATTTGTAGAATCATATTCGCGCACGTATGAAATATTCTCATTTAGGCAATTTTCGCAAAATTGCGAGGATCTTATTTATTTTGGGCAATTGATATGGACTAATGTCGCGATATGGCGATACGAGAATAATACGTCGCGCGACGAGTCGTTCGCGAAAGCGCAAACAACCAACTCGGCGCGTCCGTCGGGATAAATATCCGTGTTGTATGTAAAATAACGAATAAAGTAGAATTAACGATCTTTCGCTACGTGCGATCGAGCGAAAGACTCGCTCGGCACAGCCAAGGAAAACAAATCATCAGAACGCGAACGTACAAGGTGATGCAATCGCTATGACGCAACGTAACACGCGGTTCATTCCAGAAGCTGCGATTTACTCCGACCGGATCTCCTTTCTTTCAACGACGAGAACGTGGTTCACCTCGGCTTCTGACAATCTTGCAAAAGTGTGTTCTTTTCTGGCCGCATTTTGTTTCGGTGTCGTACCCACCGCGCCTGTGTGTCTTCTGTTTAGAATACTTTGTAAAGTAGCCGGGAACACACGCCTTTACCCTGTCATCACGTCTATGTTTATACTGCAGAGAAGGTACGATCGTACGCGAAGGTTGGGATCGTGCACGTGTCAAAGCCGCTGGGAACCTACAAAGTAACCAAAATAAACTCTGTCTCTGTTTAGTTGCGAGCGGAAATTTACGGGAAGCCCTCAAAAATCAAACTCAGCATAGGAAACATTAATTTTCTGTTTACCTTAATTTGAGAGAGAGAGAGAGAGAGAGAGAGAGAGAGAGAGAGA